CGGGTGAAGCTGCCAGTACGCATGAAGTGATTGCTCACTCCATGACGCATGGCCACCTCGAACACCTTCCCCTGATCCTTTTTGGCGAGCAATGTGCTCGTATAATACGACGCGATAGCCAGGCGTAGTGCATGGATGACCTGAGCCCGCACTTCTGGTGGGATCTTCACCAGGTTACCCCCCGTGCTCCGACACTCCAGAAGAAGCTCCCGCGTCTCTTCCGCCCACATCCAGCGGATCTGCAATCTGGAGGACTGCCGTCTACACGCGTTTCGCGCATCAGACCAAAGGGAGCGCTCTCCACCGTCGCGGAACTTTCTCTCGACCGAGCCCGAGAGAAACGAAGCGATGTCCTGCTCCGTTGGTACTGAACCAATTCGCCGCTTAACCACTCCCTTCAGCGACGGCCACGCCAAGTCTCTGACTCCAGCGTCGCCAGCCGTGAGAACACGGAAGACGTGCGCTATCGTCAGGACGTCGGCGAGGTCAGCGAGCGGAAGCAGGCCACATCCCCCCTTGTTAGGAGGGAGGTAGACTACCTCCGCGCTGGCGCGCTGAGGGAGGTTGAGCCACGACTTAGCCAGCCTCCTTATCTGCTTGTCCGCGACTTTCACGAGGCCCTTTTCTACTTTGGCACTTCGCAACAAGAAGTCGAGACGTGGCAGGATGTAAGTAGCCACCATCTCGACTCGCTGCCACGAAGCTAGGAACGAGCGCTCGACGCGCTGCAAATCCTCCATCATGCCCTGAATCGTAGAATAAGGGTTCTGATCAACGGAAAACCCCGTCGGAATGCCGAGGTGCCTATATCCTTCTCCTTCTGCCAGGCATTGCATCATTTCTCCCTGGATCTCGAAGCGGGTCGGGAGGACGCGATCCAATCGCCCCGCTCGGATGTGCAAACTTGCACACTTCGCGGGGTTGAATCGCAGGCCTACCGACCGCGCCTCGGTTTCCACGACGGTGAGAAGTCGTCGCATCCCCTCTGGAGTCTCGGCCACTAGTGCGATATCATCCGCGTACGCTAGTGCGGACCACCGCTGCCCTAAAATGGAGTACCCCGCGTTTTCAGCGGTGGCCGCGCGCAGCACGGAATCAATCGCAAAATCAAATACAATGGGGCTTAAGGGGCATCCCTGTTTAACTCCAGAGCGGATGGGGATTGGTGCCGTCTACCCGTCGGACGTGCGCACACATGTTGTGCATCCTGCGTACATGGACCCCCACAAATTTGTGAGGGATCCAGGCACGCCGGACCAAGCTAATGCTCCCCTGATTGTTGCGTGCGGGACCGACCCGAACGCATTGGATAGATCCAGCCACGCCACGACCAATTCTTTTGAGATCGTCTCGCGTCTGTCAGGATTTCCTGCAGGACGAAGTTGTGCTCGTAGCACCCCTCGTCTTGCAGGAAACCCTTCTGTACCGGGCGAAGCTTATGATAAAATATCGTCCAATCCGTCAGACGATCGGCTACGACCGCGGCAAAGAGCTTGGGCGTAGTATCGCCTATAGCGAGAGGGCGCCAATTATCTAAATCATTCTGATCGCCTTTTTTGTATACCAACACGGTGTTGGAGTTTTTCCAGGACGCGGGAACAACCTCTAGGCGCAGGCAGATGTTAAAAAGCGCCGTGAGAAGACGTGACCCAGGATCCGCTTCACGNAGGTCCTTGTAGGTCAGCCCGTCGGGCCCCGGCGCGGAGTTACTCACGCGTCGGATCCGACGTTCGACCTCTCGCTCCGTGAAGGGATCCGNGAGGAACGCCAACTCACCATCCGTTAGAGGCTGGGCTGGTTCCACGGCGTCGGCGCCATCCAGCGGCAAGCCGCCGCGGTATAGTTCGGTGAAGTACTCATGGGCCCGTTCTTTCTGCACTTTGCAGAATTCAGGGGGCCCATGAAGCACTTCCCGAACAACCTTGCGTCGGTTGCCCCTGTATAGCGCCTGTATACGCGCCGCTTTGCGCACCCAGTTCGCGCGTCCTTCTCCTGGAATTCCCTGGCGATTTCCCTCCCTATTGGCGCCGTCTCGCTCACCAGGCGCATGTCCAGCTCCTCGACGCGGTCGCTCCGACCCCGCACGCACTGGACGATTAGCGGGTACGCCGCGTCGATGCCCAGCGTCCGTTGCATCCTTCCCAAAGTAATTTGCGACTTGCGCCGCGAAGTCCTCCAGGTCCGCAACCGAGGCGACGCCCGCCGCACGCCCAACCAGCGCGTCTCTTT